CATGTTCCAGGCACAAGCAGTTTTCAAGGAAGCTTTTCTCCTTGGTCCTTGTCGTGGCATTAAGTGGGACAAGGACTGCTGGTGGTGGTGGCTGGGGGTGGGGAGCAACTTGCTTTAAGAAAACATTGCTACTCTTTTGTTGGCACATGTGAAGCAGAATGAGAAACCTGATCTCTAGAGATGAATTCCAGATCAGATCACGGACGCAAGCTTTGGACCTGCCATCTAAAGGAATTGCTTGCTAGAGCCGCCTGGGGCTTGGTGTATCAGAGGCTGAATCTTTTCTCAACCGTATTTGCCCATGCTGAAGTCTGAAAACAGATTTCAGTATATGTATTATGTTTACAGTGTGGATCAATAAAAACTGAGAGAAAGGGATGCAATAGGAGAGTTTATTTTAATACAGCTCATGTTTTTCCCTTGTTTTCTCTCAAGGAAATCTGACTGCCAACTTATTATCTTGAATGTTGCCCATGAAACAACTCAGGGGTTGTCATATGAATTCTTCGAGTCCACGATGGAACAGAGAATGACTTGCAATCTATGATAATACTGTGAGTCATTCAGACCATTTATTAGTAACAACCACTCCATAAAGGCATCTCCTTCATTTAGAATACCAGTACAGTTCATCCTTTTCTAAATGTACCTTCTCTTCATCTCAATGTACTGTCTTTCACTCATCTGAAAGGCAACCTCCCATAGAGCTCCCCAAATAATGTAAAATAACAAGAATGAAAATACCTTAAGTAACAAACATTGCACAGATCTGCAATCACCCAGATTGTGACAGGGTCAATATTATGTCTGGGAGGATAACCACAGCAAGAACATAATGAAGGAATTTCATTTCATGAAAGTGCTGGAAAGGGATACAATTTTGAAAGTGGGCAAGATTAAAGTTGCCAGAGAGGTCAACATAAACACAAATTCCACCAAGAAATCAAGCCCCATTCTAACAGACTGGAGAACACATGGCCTCATAGGGCTGGGTGAGGAATTCCCATTGTAGCTATGCAGCCAGGGGCCCAGGCATTCACTGGAGAATAAGCTGTCCTTTCAGTTGCAAATGGACCCCTTCTTTTTTGCAAGGTACTACATGCTTACATGCCTCATGGCTTCCAAAGTTCTGGACCAGCAATTGAATGAGATCTAATTTCCTAATTATGCAAACAAGGTCTGGCTATAATAAAAACAGGTCTTAGCAGAACAGCACAAGGTGCAAGAATGTCTACCTCATTGGTTCATTTATTCCCACTCCAGTTATCTGCTATGTGCACCTCGGTGCTAGGCTGGCCCTCTATGATCAAGGTGAATTTCCAAATTCAGATTCTGGGCTTGGGAGTCCAAAGATCCCTGGAAGGTCCAGAGGTGAGCCTCAGTGGCCCAGGAAACTGAAATTGTACATGAAACTCTGTATGTACGTGCACATGTACATTTTTTCTTTCCTGGGAGAAAGCTTTCAAAGGATTTTCAAAATTATCTATATGAAGTTCATGAAAGATTAAAAATCATATTCTTGGAAAAATTAATAGGAAATTTGTAGTGGATTCTCTTTCCCCATTAACAATGTGGTTGACGATACAGTCTGGTAGATTTCCTCTTTGATTCTAAAGTCGTATCCCTTGATTGATCCCTTTCCAACTGATTAAGTACTCCAAAAGGGACGGAAGCACTCACTGCTAAAGAATTTTTAAATATCTCTCGGCTGTGGCCATGACACACTTTTTCATAATTCAAAATATTAATAGTACCTGCCTCACCTGCTGATGTAAACTGCCATTCATTAACTGTGCCAGAGAAAATTTCTTTTGATCCTGAGCTTGGATTTTTGGAGGTAAGGGGTAGTCCTAGAAAATGTGGTTGAGAACATATGAATGGTTCTCAACAACAACCTATGTGCTCAAAATAACCCCTCACCTCCTAGAAGAGAGTTGCTCTCTCTTCTTTCATTGTAAAGGAATGGTCAAGTAAATGGAGAGGCTAAATTAGAGAGAAAATTCCAGGGTGGGATATATACCCTGAACAAGATTTAAATTGACAAGAAAAAAAGGAGGGAAGGGAAGAAAAGGAAGAAGGTCCAGACTACTAAAGCCTTCACCAATATTTTTTAGGGGCCAGTGTTGTCAGCAAGCCTGTAAAAGCTGGACAGGCAGGTTTTCCCAGTTGCAGGCTGAACTTGAGGTTAGGAGCTATGATCCTGGACATCAGCCAGCACCCAGACAGATCAGTTTTGTAGAATAGAGAAAAACCCTTCCATATTCACCTCTGGCAATTTCAACGAGGTTTTATAATCCTCACAGACTGGCAGCTAGTAAAAGAAGGGGGAGTTTCTTTTTCTATCCTTCATTCGGAACTGAGCACCAGGCCGCTTTGAGAATCCACCAGACCAGTGCCTTTTGACAGAATGTGAAATTGGCACTGAAATGTTTGGATGAGCCAACAGCCAGGACCTTCTCGGCCACTATGTGCTGTGTGGATGCCAATGACATGTTTTCCGGCACATTTTCAAAAACAGAAAATGAAATAGTAAATACTCTTACGATCACTTTATAAAATGCAATGAAACTTTAAAAGGACAAGATTAAGACTAATTGTCAAAATTAGTGAGAATCATCTGTTCTCTTCATTATGGGAAGCAAACTGCATACACACACACACACACAGACACACACACACACACACACACACACAGACACACACACACACACACACACACACACACAACCTGGCAGGCACTGATGTTGACACACTTGAAAGAATAAAATCAAGTTGTATTTTATGACTATGGAGAGAAATTATGAGACAGAGTCAAATGCGGCCTTTTGACAGCTCATTATGTCTTGTACGACAGAGCAAAACAAACAAAAAATTCACTGAAGACACCAACAGTATACATGGTAACTGTAACTGGGCCCAGTGTTCAATTGGGGGTCTTCTGTTTTGGGTTGCTTATTGTCGCTCATGGGAAGTTGAGCCTGTGCAAGACAGATATTGCCAATTTATGGCATTTCAATTGGTTTTCTCATTCCTGGTTATCAGATGACAGCCCAGCCTTGGTTGCGGCTATTTTACTCTGTGGGTTTCATGCAAACTTAAGGGCATACTGACAAGAATCAGGCAGCCAAACGCAAACAATCCACACCTTGGGGAAACAGTTCAACTGTTACCCGGGTAAACACGAGCACCTATTAGTCACCCACTCAAAACAGAAATGCCCAGTGAGGGAAGAGAGGCCAACCCTCAACACCAGAAAAAGAAGCATGGTGCATTCAAGACTTCATTCTTTATTATCACTGATTACTGCACATTGCCAGGAAGCCCCACTGTGCTTCATATGGGAAAATGTCACTAGTATGGGCCATTCAAAAGTTTCTAAAACTTTTATAAGCAAAACCTGACAAACAGACCCAAAGATATTACTTTGTCTGGAAATGCAACCAAATGATACTCAGCTATTGATTCCTAATTGTAGAAATCCAAAGACCTGAGTTAAACTGTGGACCAGGTGGGAAGGCCTCTGTTTTTTATTGGCTTCTTACCCGCTCTGCTAGCTACTCATCTGAAGCCTTTAAGATGTTTTCTAAACACGCATCTCTGAATTATAATGTGAATTCCATTTACTGAAAGGTGGGGACTTTTAATATGACAAGTGAGCCCATTTAATGACTTACACTTTTATACTGCATAGCATCACTCATGCTTTCAATAAGTGCATATAAGTTTCTTTGCATTACTCTATTATTTACATTGATAGTACAATGAGCATATATTTTCAATCATATTGTAAGTTTTTTATTTTCTCCACCTATGATTCTACTTTGAAAATGCTCCAGACAGCTGGGACTGCAAAAACAATAGACAAAAAACCCAACAGCCTTATGCACCCTTCCCCTCTTCAACTAATAAAACTCCCTAAGAATATAGATTTTCTTAAGTTTTTGAATGCTTTCGTAAATAGTAATGATTAGTCTTAAGTCTAAATGCCCATTGGTTGTACTTTTATTTTTTTCAACATGAGAGTCACCTACTGTTATTTAGGTATTTATCCTGTCTTTTTATTCCACTGAAAACAAATTTTATTCATAAACTTATTCAATACATTATTACAAAAAGAGATTTTCAAAACAAACTGTCCTCCTTCCTTCAGTTAAACTTCTAGTACTTATTGCTATTTATAAAATATGAATTAGGTTGTTGCAATACAGAGAAGACACAATATTTGGAAAATAACTGGAAACCAGAGGAGACTGCAATGAGCCAGGATTTCTCTCTCTGGTCTAATACTTTGAAAATGGGCAAAGAAAAATAAAACTACAGTGATTTAGAAACTGCACTCATGCATCAGTTCATGTGAATAACCAGTCTTTAATATTAGTACCTAAAACATTAGCTGGACCCAGCCCATCCCCTCAAATAATCATAAAGCATCCAAATTATATACAATAGGAAGAACACAACAGTCATCAAATTTTCCAAACCAGGATGGTATTGACAATATTTCTTTGTGTTTTATCATAAAAAAGTAAGCTTACTTGAATACATGTTTCAACTATATATCCCCTAAAATTTATTAGAAGTGATCATTTGATACTCTGTCACTTGTCATAGATAGCACTGATGCTAAGCCAAAGGCTTCCATTAAATAGATTTCTAATAATTATCAAAGAGAGAGCCCCGGTTGTATAATCTTAGTTTCTATGATGGTTACATTTTATATGTTTACATTTTAGTAAAGATTTGAGGGGTTTCTGTGAAATTTAAAACTCATGTTTTGCATGTTCCAAATCAGTCTTAACCCAATTCAATAATAGAAAGCAGTAATGTAAAGTAGACTCCATTAAAAATATTAAATTTTGAATAAATGGTTTAACAACTTGACATAGCGATAGTAAGAAGAAAAACTGTGTATCTGGGAATCCCATCACAGAAACTTGAAATTTGGGTTTGTTGCCATGTAAATACTTTGCATTTCAAGTTCAGTTTTGACAGATACATACCTCTTCCACTCCGACCGACAAACCTGAGGTCATTGAATCTCGCGACTTGGTTTTTCATGGCCGCGGTAGCGTTTCTCAGTTCGGCTGAGTAGTTTTCATCGTTGCCTGCCATTACAGTGACCAGGGTACCATCTGGAACATCCCCCAGAGCCACCACCTAAGCACCAGTCAAGGCACAAACGCAGACATCAGGAATGCTATAAACCTTTATGTCAGTTGCATTATAATTGTTCTAAAATTAAATGTATATTAAGTGATCCTTTTTGATTTGCACAGGAATAGCAATCCTTTCAAAGATTACAGAAGTTAAGCAGAACAAAAGAAAAGTTATTAATGGGAAGATTCATTTTTAATTCCATTATGCATAACTAAATGCAAATTTTCAAATCATAAAGCATTCACCTAACAAAGGTCATACAGCACAGTTGGAACAAGACTATAGCACACACTTTGCAAAGCCATTCCTTCTCGTGAATACAATAATCCCTTTTTAATTCTTTGTATTTGAGAAACAGATGTCTTGTTTCTCAGTTTATAACCTAACCCTTCTTTCACTGTGCAGACTCCCACCGACAGGTCTAATAAGGCCAACTTTACTCTTGTGTGTTTAAACTTATTTCTGCTAAAATTAAATTTGATTGTTATGACTGAATTGCTGATGATCCTTCAGTGACCTAAACTGTCCCTTTCAGTTCATCTTTGGTACCCCCTACTCACTTCTATTAGCTTGACTTTCACTAGCAGTATTCTGGCATGCAAGGAAAAAAACCAGAATTGTATCCCTTGGATTATTATTAATTACATAATCAGTGAACCCCAGAGAAGAGGGGCCCTCTTTTATGTGCTCCTTTGAATTCAGGAGTGGAATTACTTCGACTTTTTTTTTTTAAATCTGTGAGTCCTAGAGATGTGCTAACTACATCTTAGTAGAGGACTGATTTTCTTTGCCAATCCCACATGATCTTAAGGAAGAATTCCTTTCATGTAATTGATGAATAGATTTCCTATCAGGGCTATTCAAGAAAACTGATAAATATTTTTGATACTCAGGAAGCAGTAATTTCAAGGTAGAATGCTCTGAAGAGCATAGCATGAAGATGCTCTGTGCAGTAGCATCCATTTCAGGGTCATCATTCGACCCTTCTGGAAATTATTTTTTGGTCTAAACATTTATTCTTAGCTATATTTCCATTGCTTCTCTTTTAAAGTGGTCATAGAATTTCAAATCAAAATGCCCTAAGTTGCACTTGTGTCTATCATTCTGATATTTCTCACGGTACTTTCTAAGTCAGTGGTGAAATCTGCACTAATCATTCCAATCATAGAATATAATTTTTTTTGGTTTTGTTTTTGAGTTGTGACAGCAAAGCCATTCTACAGTAATTATTCCTTCTTCAGCTTTCCACCTCCCCATGTTACCTAACAATTGCCCCATAATGTTCTTGGCAGTACTACATATTTTCAGTCCTCTTTTTTCTATCTGTAAATAAGTCTGCTATGGGCTCACTTGCATGACAGCAAAGCCATGTTTCTCATAATCCCCATCTTCATTTGCCTGCTTAGTCATTACTGCTTCCCTGTGTCATCCCGATGGTCCTCTATTGTTTTTATTCCTTCCCATGCTTGGATTCTAGGAATATGACAAGGAAAATGAACCAACTCACCATGAGGGGAGGATGTACTTCTGACCCCAAGACTACACCAAGAGATTCAATTCTACCGGCAATAGGTAGGCATTTATTCTCATTAATTTTATGCAACTTGCACTGTTAAGCAAAATGTGGGCCTTTCATCTTTCTTTCTAATCCTTTCTATCCAAATGTGGGACCTGTTTTCTATAAAGGAGATTTTAAAACACAGCTATTTATTCCCCAAGGACACTCTAATTAGGTATTTAGTTCCCGTTATAAGGCTCTTTGTTGTCTTTTAATTACAAGCAGTAATAGGACAATTATTTTTTGTTTCAAAAACACCATTGAAATAAATCTGCCTGATCAGTTATTAAGTTATTTTACCATTTCTTTCAATCACCAGAAAATGTGCTTGCTTTATTCTGCTCTTTTCAGGCTCTTAAAATTTTTTCCACTTTTTTTTCATTATTTTCACTTCCCTCTGTAAAATTAGCTCACAGTGTTGCAATGCCTTCCTTGAACACATATTTTTACTTCCTCATCCCCATCTCCCAGTGATGTCCCTGCTTCTCTATTTTAATTCCACAGTCAGTAAATGTACAGGGACTGGATCGACTATGTGGCTTTCAAACGAAGAATTCATTGTTGGGACAGAATCTGTAAAGAGGGAAAATAAATAAATCTTTTATAACTACCCAAACATATTCTAAATTATTTTTTGCCTACTGGCTCTTCTCACAGTGCTCAATGACTGTGCCTCTCTTTTCTTTCTAAAACTATCCTCATCAGTAATTTGGCAAATTCATGAGACCTTCACCAAGTAGAAACAAATAGAGAGTAAAATGATCATGGTAACTAAGTAAGAAAAGCTTGTTGATGTTGGAATTTAAGACTAAAAATGTTAAAAACTCCTACTCCTCCCTTTTTAAAAAATGAAGGAGGAATCAAAGATACTTGGGAGCTCAAAGATCATTTACTTGGTCTTTTATTGATCTTGGAGGGATTTTTCTTGGCAGGAGTAAAGGGGAGAATATGAAATCCAGGGAAATTATATTAATAATGTATACCACCTACTTATTAACAAGCATCCATAGGCTGGAAAATTTTTTTAAAAATTAAAATTAAAATGTCTATCAACTGGATGCAGATTTTGTCACTGACAGGTAATATGAAGGAAACTTAAAAATATATCTAACTTTAAACAGAAAAAGAGAAGCAACTGGAATGAAAAGCTATAAACAAAAGGTAAGGGAACACAAACATTTACATTTTAACACAGACCAAACAGACAAGAAGGGACTTGCTGGCCAAAGGATATCTCATATTTTGTTTTAGTTCTCTGTTTTTAAAGTATCAGGAAGTTGGGCAAAATATCAACCCTCCTATATACTACATGGACCTCCCCATATTGGTCTTGGCTAGCCTGCTCACTATTCAAACTGGCATTGTAAACCAACTCTAATTAGGTTGAAATTACAGTTACAACTCATTTATTTCAAATCGCTTAACTTTCCAGTATTTCAAAGAAAGCTGTGGAGTGGATCTTAGAATTCAGCTGAGATGACATTTAACGCATGCCTAGGAATTTCGATCTGGCTGATAGAAATATTACTTTTTTCTTTATGATGAAAATAATATTATCAGCAGCATTTAAGGCCTCTGAACTTGCTGAAGGCTTCAGACTCTGGTGTGCCAGAGCCTAAACAAACTCTGATATTACAGTATAATAAAATACATCCTAAATTATCCAAACAGCTTTTTAGGCTGCTTCTGTCAATAATGGGTAATACAGTAAATTTAAGATTTTTCTCAGTAGGAAAATAAGTATCTCTCCTAGCTGAAAAAATAAAGGTGCTGCATGGGAAAAGTCAGGGAGTGGGATACATTTGGGGTTTGAGAGAAGCAATTAGGAAGAGTTTAATTTATTTTAAGGACAACTTATAATTTTTAATCTCCCCCTAGTTTCAAAGCTTAAAGCAAAGGATTTACACATAGAAATTCAATAGTCCCAGACAATCGCTCCAATGCTCTTTTCATCAATATCATCAGACTTCATCAGTTTCACGTTTTCTACTTCTTATAATATAATAACTCTTTACTGATTATTTTCATAGAGAGATTGTCTCAAGCTTAACATAAAAACCCAAAGTTTTAAATAATAATTTCTGTATAAACTTCTTGGGAGGCAGGTGGGTGCAAAGTGTAAGAGGTGGAGCCGGGGACACACAGGGTACCGACCCAGATGCAGTCCCGTTTTGAAGTTCAGCTTGCTTTTATCCTTAACCTTTTGAGTTTATTCCCTCACTGAAAATTTCATCAGCTCTCTCTATGAAGCAGGGAGCAGGTTCCCTTACGGAAGAGGCCTCTCTTTGTGGGGACGGGAGTGGTGACAGATATTACTCAAGTGGTTTGATTTCTCCGCTGTCTTGCCTTTCCCCCAAATGTTCTCAAGACCCGCTTGAGCTTTATCGAAGAGACCTATACCTTAATCTTTTGGTAGCCTGCAAACTACCACTTGGTAAAACAAACTAGTTTTTTTAAAAAAGTGAATCGTTGAAAGTCCTTTTTAAAAGGAAACCGCTATGGTTCTTAAGATGTCTGCTAAAAAGAATTCCCTGATGGCTCATAACAGCAATTTATATGATTTTTTTTCATTCTTTTAGAAAAAAAAATAATACTTTCATGTGGCAGCTTGAGAAATTACATGACTTCCACTCCTGAAGATTCTTTATTAATCACTTAGTGTTTTGATGTACTTGGGTGTGGGTTCCCTGGCAGAGGAAGGGAGAATCCAGGAGATCCTGATTTACCTCAGATGAAGCCACAGATCCCTTGGAACCCACTCCCTTGGTATGTCTGGGGCACTGGGGTTTAAATGCCCCTGTGGATTATCAGCCTGTCTCCTTCCCTCTGCTCTTATCTGAAGTGGTCCCAGGGCCCAGCCCTATGAGGTTTCCTCTCACTGAGGGACTCAGTCCTCTCTGCCAGGTTAGTCTGTTTATGTAAAGGAATTAGAATAAATTAAAATTGAAATGGGCTCCCAACCCAAATCTACAGAGATGGAGGAAGGGAAGGGGGAGTCCAGCAGCTGCAAACCTTACCCTCATCTCCTACCCCCTCAAAAACTGCTTTCAGAAAACTTAAGCAGTTTTGTAGACACAGACAACTGCACTTTTTGTTAGTTGAGTTTTACAAATCATAATATAAGTTTACAAGCAGCGTAAAGTTTAAAAATAAAGAACTCTGACAGCACTTTTTAAAAAAGTGAAAGTTATTCATTGTAACCTAGATCAAGAAAGATACAGCCGAGGCCTGGGGACTATAAAAAAGCTTATATTAATCCTCCCTTAAAGGGGACAATTATTAAACCAAGTTATTAAAAAAAAAAGTAGCTGATCTTCAGTGTTTTTTTCCCACCTGCCTGCCTTAGTTCTTTAGATGAACAGGAAATGACCGCACTGGTCGTACTAAAAATCTGAGCCTTATTAAACCCACTCAGGACGGAAGAACAGAATCCCCCCGCCGAAATTAGATTTCTAACAGTTGCTGCCAGGCTGGAGGGGTGGTTGTTTAAAAGCACCGGGGTTGTTTACATACCCCATCGAAGGCCAAGGTTTTAAAGGCAGCTCAAAGCTGGATGGAGCAAGATCAGGGGGAAAGTGGACGGAGACCCCTGGGGCTGCTCAGCGGAGATTGCTCGGTCCACGCCGCCCCTCTTTAAACGGAACTGCCGGCGAGTCGGACCCCGGCTCATGGAAGACAGCCTCGTCACCTTTCGCTGCCCCGGGCTTAATCTAGGTGAGCAGGCGATGACGCTCGGGAGGGTTCCAGGAAAAGAAACAGGATTCCCGACTTGCGGCTTTGGGCACGCTAGAAGCTCGCAAAAACTCTTCAGAACACTTTTGCAAACTTAACTACGCCCGCTGTGGACTTTGGACATGCTAATTCCTACAGGGCTGTTAAAAAGGGGTGGGGGTGGGAAGCCCTGACAATTTTTCTTGCGAGTTTATTTTCACTGACCCGAAGGTATAAAAGTATCTCTATTTTATTTCCTGAAGCCTCCATCGGAGGGAGGCAGAATGGTTTGGGTGTCAAGCCTCTAAAGGTGGGGGAGGGAAGCAAGGGAGCCGACCGGCTTGTCCCTGCCGGGTTATAACTTTTCCTACTTTGTAGCAAAGCAAAGGAGCCTCCTAGAGAGGTTCCGACCAGCCCTCGGTGGCCGGTTTGGGAGACATCCTGGTTTTTTCGGCCCTCCCTAGATACAGCCCCGGCGAGTCTCCCTCAACCCGCCTCGCGAGGGTCGCCACGGCAATGCAGCATCCCCCGACTCCCTAGCGCAGGGGGATGGACCAGGGGTGCAGGGGGTCGTGCTGGCCCCTTCCTGAAAACCGGCCCTGCCCGCCCGGCCGCTGCCCTCCCAGATCGCCCCCGGCCTCGATCGGCCTTCGCCTGTTCTCCCGCCACCCTCTCTGGGACGAGTACCTTGAAAGCGATGGGCAGGGTCTTGTTGCAGCGCCAGTGCGTGGGCAGCACCGAGCAGAGGAAGTTGGGGCTGTCGGTGCGCACCAGTTCGCCGGGGTGGTCAGCCAGCACCTCCACCATGCTGCGGTCGCCGCTCCTCAGCTTGCCGGCCAGGGCGGCGCCGGCGTCCGGGGCGCCCAGCGGCAGCGCCTCGCTCATCTTGCCCGGGCTCAGCGCGGTGGAAGGCGGCGTGAAGCGGCGGCTCGTGCTGGCATCTACGGGGATACGCATCACAACAAGCCGATTGAGTTAGGACCTTGCAAACAGCTCCTACCACACGGCGACAGGGGCGCGAATCTTCAGCAAGTAGCTCCCGGGAGACCAACATACAAGTTCAGGGGCCTTTATTGCTGCGGAGAGGGAGAGGATTAGGGGAGGTGTGGGGTCTAAGTTCCTAACAGTCCAGGAAGGGGAAAGTTCTATTCAGCCGATCCGCCTCAGACCAGGGCAGGGCTCCTAGCAACCGACCGCTTAGTGCTTTTAAAAGTGGGCGACCAGAATCCACAGTCAAATGCCAAGAGAGACTATCGTCTGAATCTTGCTTTGAAAGTTTTAAGTTCAATCTTTGGCGGTTACAATTCCCATACACTTCCTAAAATATGTATGCGGAGAGCAAAAGGACCAGAAAATACATAATTTGGAAGTTCCAGTAGTCAATCGCCTGTCAGTTTTTTTTTCCAGGTGAATTTTGTCTAAAGTCCCAACACAACACAAAATATACGAGTGTGTTCCATATACAGCGTCACTATTACCATGCAAAACTGGCTTCGGTCCTCAAAACCAAGAGCTGAGACTTCCAAAGATCGTGCTCCTAATGTATGTGCACATATATGCTCTACTTCATAAAATATTTACAATACGATCTGTAGAGAATTTAAACACAAAAGAAATCCATTAATGTTCGCTCCAGAATTTTTTTTTTTAAGTAGCCTTGAAAATCAGCTTCAGTAGTTGAAGAAGGGCTGGGCTAGAAATACTTGTCATATTCTCTCAATAAATTCTGGCAAAATGATCATTCAGAAAATTCAGCTTTTCAAAAGAAAAGCCAATTTAAAAAGAAGTCCAAGTAGATGACACAGAGTACAGTTCAACACATCTGAAAACTCGGGTTTGGGGATGTTGGTTAAGTTTGTGGCTGATCCTGTGGTTTGGTGGGAGTTGAGCAGCAGCGGAATCACACGCACGCAGACACGCGCTCTTTCGATACCAGCCACTGTCTACTTCGACTCCATGAGTCAGCCCCGTCTTGGGCAGGAACGAGATCTTGCTCCAGCGTCGTCCCGGAGCCGGCCGGTTAACTGCTTCTTCGCGCTAATACCCACGATCACCACCTGACCGCAGCAGGTGGAGCGGGCCTTGCAGGAGGCTCCGCAGCGCAGATCAAAAGAGACCGGGTGGCTCGAGTTACACACGCAGGCACACACTCCCACGCACACTGCCACGCACACACAACTTCACGGTTTGCCTCGAAGCACAGCGCACTTTCTTTTGCAGTTGTCAAAGGAAACAAAAGTTCACAGTCAGAAAAGAAGTTGAACCATCCAGCCACAAGGAACCAGTTCATTCACAAGAAAGAAAAAAAAATCGAAGTTCCAACGTAGGCACAGGAGAAACAGCAACGGTTGACTTGCTTCCGGCGTCCCCAGGAGCCCCGGGAAGAGGTGCCTGCCGGCACAGGGCCGGGCAGCGTGGTACCCTGGTTGGGTCCCGCCGTGGGGCGCCCGTCCCGCCTGAGCCCGCTGGCTCTATGAATGAGAGTGCCTGGAAATGAACGTGCTTTTACTGTAAGCCCGGCCCAAGGAATTCCATTCCCTCAGCTCGTTTGCATAGGGGCGGACGCTGGCCAATCACAGGCCTTTCCGGTATCAGCCAGGGCGCGGCTCGCGGCCTCGGGCTCCTGGAATTGGCCCGCGCGCCCCCGCCGCTGCGTGCTACTGTACGCAGCCTGGGTGGAGAATTCGCGGCTGCCGCGGCCACTCCGCGCTCCTCACGCATCCGCATCCACGCACAAACGCTTGCCCGAGGCTCCGCCCTGGTGCGGACCGTGACCCTGCGGCCTTGCAGACACTTAAGGGCGCGCGGCCGCCGGCCAGGGGGCTGCGGTGCCCGAAGGTGTTAGAGGAGGCCGCGGTCCGGAGGCCGAAGAGGTGGAGAGGCCAGCGGGCCCGGGGAGGGCCCTGGCCGCGCACCGCGCTTGGAGGGGCCCGGGCCTGGAGACCAGCCGGAGGGAGGTTCCCTGCGCGTCCTGGAGGTGCAGCGGCCGCCGCGAGGCTCCTGGAACCGGGCTCGGAGCCCCCGGGCTGCCCCAGGCCCTGAGCGGCCGCCCGCTGTCGAGCCTTCCTCTCTCCGGAGTGGGTGGGATTCGGTCGCGAGGGGGCCGGAGGCAGAGGGCGAGCGTCTGCACAGCCCCACAACCCGGTTGGCAGCTTCAGCGAAGTGGCGCTGATTCAGTTAATACGGCCAGACGGTTCTCGGTCTCCACAACATGCTTTTTGTGTTTTTAGTTTTCGTTCTCGGTTTTTCTTTAATTGGTGTTTTTCGCGGCGTCTGGGCTGTGGCTTAATTAGGCAGCCCGCTTCGCTCAGGCCGAGCGTGCTTAGCGGCGAGCAGCGGAGTTGCCTCGTCAGAAAAGACCCCAAAGAACCGGCGACTGGAAAAAGTTGAAAGCCTCCGCCCGGCTCTCTCCGCGTCCTCGGAGCGGCGGCTCCCCGGAGGCTGCGCGAGAGCCCCCCGCTGGGCCCAGGTCGCCACCCACCTCCAGCTCCCCGGAAACAGCCCCGGCTCCTTCGCCCGCCCGTGCGCGCGAGCGGGCCGGGGTGCGGAACCCACCCCGACTGTGCGCGCGGGCGGGAACTTCCCTCTGCACCCGTCCCCGCGGCGCCGGCGGCATTTTCGCGGAGCTTAGGGGGCCCCGCCCCCTCCTCGCGCGCCCGGCCGGTACCTCGCGGCGGGGTTACCTCTCCTCTCCCTTCGGAGCCCCCCTCGTCCCGCAGGCGGGCGCGCACCCTCCCTTGCACGGAGCCCCTCACCAGCCCCCGCGGGGCCTTCCCTCCCGCCACCTCCTTCCCCCGCCAACGCGCTGTGGGTTGTTAGGGGTCGCCGCCGCTGCGCCGGACTCTCCTCGGACCCTGCCGCTGGGGCCTGACGGATGCGGAGGCCGCGGTGGGCCGGCAGCCGAGGCATTTCCCGGTCACCCCGGGAGGAGAGAGGCCGGGCGGGCTGCGCGGAGCGTCCGGGAGGCGGGCACCGGCCCCAAGGGAGGCGCCGCGGGCGACGGGCGGCGGGCTTGGGGTGGACACCAGGGGGCAGCAGCTGCCCTCGCTGCCGCCCTAGACTCCCGGCGGCCGCGCAGTGCGCCCGGGAACGCCCCCGACGGCGCTGGGCTCTGCCGGCCCTCCTTGCGACCTTTGAGTCTCTATTGTAAGCGCATCAGTTTGGGGAGAAACGACCGCAAACGGCCGCCGGAGCCAGTGTGAGCAGCCACGTCCCACCCCGCGAAGCAGCTGAGCTGGTGGCTTGGGAGCCCTCGCCAGGAAACCTGGCTGCCCCTACCGGCCCTTAGTAGGGTCTGTCTGCTTTGCCTGATTGCGGTCGGCCCGCCCCAGGCCTTCGGCGCTGCAGGCGTTCCGGGTACCTTCGCTGGGCCGGGAGCCCCGTGTCCCTCCTGCCTCACGCGCTTTGTCCCAGGTGGGCCCTCCTCTCCGGAAAACCCGAGACGCTCCCGGGAACTTCCAACGCCCAGCGGTATTTCCTTTTAATGGTCTGGGGTCTCGGATAGAAATTCCTTTGTATTTTAGGTGAAAAATGATTTTGAAGAAGACCCATTTCAGGTGTAAACCCCCCCAACCCCCCAAACACACACATATGCTCTTCACCTTGGCTAGCAATTCCAAATACTGCGCAGTCACCAAACCTCCCCGGCTGCCTTCCCCCGGCCGGGCACAGATGCTGCCCGCTCTAGAGGCTTGCTCAGGCAGGCGAGTGAACCCCTTTGCCTCGGTTCACACGCATTGCCCCTAAGAGCACCCGAAGCGCTCCTGGGGGCCGTCGCCAAATGCTTCCCCAGGGACACCCCCCGCGATGCGGGGTGGGGCTCGGGAGTGCGGAGGAGGCAAAAATGGCCTCTGACTCGGGGATTTAACAGACTGCGGAATCCGCCCCTCGGGAAGGTCAGGGAAGTACCCCTAAGGGCTCAGGTGGTTTGAAACCCTGAGCCCTGCGAAGGGCTTCGGGTCGGGGTGTCCTCCGCAGTCGCCCGGGCGGGGGTCAAGTTCCCTTCCTCCGTGAGAGGTGCAGCTGTAGATGTTCCAAGTTTAGCCTTTCAAGGGCAGCACTGTGGGCGCTGCTCAGATGAGTTTTAACCAATAAATCCCGTGTTCGAATACTGACAGGGGCGATGAGAGCAAAGAAAGCTTTTGCTGATTTATTCTAACTCCGGCTGCCGGGTTCCGGGACCTGCGGGGCTATAGCTGCACCGTGCACACTTGAAAACCAGAAACTAACAACAAAAAAATCCCAATGCACCTTATCGAGGAACTAAAATGAATAGAAAGAAGGTAGCACGAGGCTTAACTAAAGGATATCTGTAACCCCTTAGTCTGAAAAGCTTTTTATAGAGCTTATGAAGTTAGGTAGCATCATGTACGAATGAAGAATTCTTTCCACCAAGAGCGTTCATTGCAGCAGCAATATAGGACTTGCCTTCCTCTGCCTCTCTGAGAAAGGGAAGGAAGCATTATCGCATTAACTCCCAGTGTTCCCCTGGAATACTACTAAAATTTACTCTTGTCATAATACAAAATAAAATACAACGAAGCAATATGTCGGACTGATGCTATATGACAGGTTCTTCCAAATTTGTTGCATAGGGGAAATTTCAAAACGGCCTATAACAGAAATGAAATGTTTTCACACTGAATTTTTAAAGTAGTGTTTGATTAGTTGGAAGAAAAACAATAGATTCACTAGAAAACAGTTCATTGACGTTTTCCTTCTACACTTTAGGTAAATATAACTATAGGTGGTCAGAAAATATCTGAGTATTTTACATTTTTGCTCTTTTAAGCCCTCTCAAAAGTAAAGCATGCATAAAAATAGTGTAAGAATCTGAATCATTCTCTTAAATCAAAATTCCTCTCTGTAACACATTTCTAAAATTACATCTTAAAAAATGTAATATGCCAAAAAGGATTATTTGTATTTTCAGCGACCATTTCAATAAAAATTAAAATCAGCGAATGTGTTTTGCTAGTGGTTCAGGACCAAATTGCTGCAGGAGATATAATGTCACACAGAAGAACATTTTGATGAAGAGTAATGTATTAATTTAACATATGTACAAATAACCCCTCTATGCACATCATCCAGTTTTCAACTTTGGAATTTAAGACATTTTCTCCCCTCTGGAGAAATTATTACACTTTCAAAATCTAATTACTTTGGGCATGAGATTCCCCAGTTCTTTCACTACATCCTTCCTCCCTATTGAATGTTTCCATGGGATTCTGTGGTTGATGTGTGACTATTTCACTCTAACTTCCTAGGTCAATTGTGCAGCTCACAAGTAGTGAACTTCTTTTTTGTGAAAAATCTTAATTATTTTCAAGTTTTAGGAATGCTTAGTAAACATTTTACCCTCATAAAAATTTAGCATTGCCAGTGCTATAACAAAGGTAATAAACTAGGTTATAACAGATAGAAGCCAAGCTCTATTTATTTTTAGAGAGTCATAGAGAGTCTTTTAATAACAGCAGAATGCACCTGTGGCAAATGCTGTAGAACCGAGGGTGTCATTTAAGGTTTCATAGGAATGTTTTATTTGGTTTGACATTCACAATATGGAGAACAGCTTTTAAGTATTTTTGAATCAGCAAAAAAAAGCCTTAATTATTGGTTAATTTATATCATAAGTTATTTATAGAGATACATAGATAAAAATCATTATACATATATGAATGTGTACATTTTATAAAAAGTATAATTTGGAATCTAACATACCGTGAACGTCTCTAGATGGATTCATTCCGTGTACACATTCTGAAAGGATAGAAAGTAGGAAAATAAGAACTATGTGAATATACTGACAGCAAACACCAAATTTACTGATCATTGATGAATTTCATTCTAATTGCAATAAATGCAAGTATAAAAACTAAATTCCCCCCTCTCACTTTTGCTAGCTTACTGCCTCTCAACAGTTTTTTAGCACTGGAGATTTTTATAGCCCGTTGTCTAGCTTTGGCACAAAAATAGCTTAAAACAGTAAATCAGCAAATAAAAAATGAAGTTACATATGCACATGATTTTATGTGACTTCAACCAGTGTTTTCCATTGCTAAAAAATACTGAATCTTTATCTTTTATAGAATGACCTCTTTTAAGCTCTATATATGATGCAATGTGATTTATTTAATGAACATTGGAAATACATCTGGAGGGAGGAAGAATGAATGAGAATTCAAGGTGAAATTAAAATGAAACCTTCATGCAAGAACATTTAGAAAGCTGTAATACTGCAGAGGCTAAATGCATGAAGTAAAAAATATGAATTTTTAAAACAATGAAAGTAAACAATTTGGAATACAACTGAAAGAAGCAAACTGGTAGGTAAACATTATGGTTATTTACTTTCAATGCTAGGACATTTTGGAAATATTCCCTCCATGCTTGTTTTACTTTCTTTCCTTTGCTGGGGGGAGTATATTATTTATATTGTAATTTCTTATTCTTGAAATAACAGGTGATATCAATTATTGTTGAAAATAATTGTCATGATAATTTCCAAATATGAATCACTTACTGTATACTGCTGCCTGTACAGTTACAGGTAATCCATTAAGCAAAGCCACATGAAGCTATTTCTCTTTCCCTTGAATATCTATGTACCATATCATGTTCTGAATTTGAAATTACTGTATCAGTCTTGTAAACTGATAATGGTCTGTACTGAATAATTAACATGGAGTAAATGCCATTTTTCAGAGCCTTAGAATTTGAGCATTTCAAATGCTGCAGACTTAAAGCTTTCAACTCCACTCCACAATATTGTTCAATATAGCTTAAAAGAATTTTAAAACTCAGAAAGGAGGTAATTACTTCAGATTTCCAGATCCTGTTTAAATAGGCAGGAGAACAAGATTTACAGCTCCTTAGTCTTATATTTTTTGCCAAAACTAAAAAAGCAACAAAAATAATAAGAGGTTCTGAAGAACTAACTGCC